CTTCCACCCGCCCCACCACTAAGTGCTAGCGATCATTATGATATTTGCATTTCCCCTTCTGCGCTAAATCTTCGTGGTTTAAAAAGCTTAAACCACAAACAGCTTTTGAGGGTGCGACGGCCGGGCCCATCTGCCTGACATCTGCCAGGACTTTAAACCACCGCTAGCAGGTTGGAGGTCTGGGTCTGGGTCTGAGAGTTTCCGGCCCTCCACGACTCAAAAGAAGGGGACCATCTCCAGGCCATCGTTCAAGGGTAAGAAGTGGCTGGAAGGAAAGTTGCCGGCAGCTCTCTCCTTCTGTTCACCTCGCCGCCTAATGAATGTAGCGCTGGAAAAAGCCCTGCGAGTCTCCGGCGGCGGCTTGTGGCTGAGTGTCACGCTGCAGGCGCAGGCTCGGCCGGTATTGCTGCTATGCGCGGAAATATGAGCGAGTAATTTTATAAGTAACAAAGGATCAGCGATGGAATGAGGCCCCTGTTATCCAATGTCATTTAGAAGCCTTGGATCAGCAGCTTCTTGAGGCTAAAAGTGAATTCAAGAAGCCCTGCCTTTCCCTTTTCCCAGGGGGTGTCAGCTAAATTTAGAAATAACCTCTCTATGTGTTTGCACAAATCATGTACCATTTGCTGTTTGTGTAAAAACCGATTAGCCAGACACAACTGTGAAACAACTTGTTACTTTTATAGCTGCAACACACAAACAGAATTAGATCCGTTTAGTTTTCCTTGTAAAAGGAGATTAGAAGGGACCCGCCCGGAGACCGTGTGGTCCATAATCTCTTCTCGATGAAGGTTACGGTTGCTCCTCTCGGCGGTGGTTATCAGGTTCTTGTTTATCAAGTTAAACTATCTCACCTCCGGCAGCTTGTTTTATTTTAGGACCCTGATCCCGAAGGAATGTTTACTCAGGGCACAATAATGTTTACTGTTTACCAGGAAAACAGATTTCGGTATTTGCAAGGAAGCGTCTTTCAAAGCGATCTCCAGCCCACGTCGACAGCGGAGAAATGAGGGTGGAATCCGCGGTAGGGAGGCATCTCCACCACCAGGGAGGCAAAGTGGACGACAACACCGGGGACTGGCCGGCTTTGACCGAAAGGACGCACGCAGGGCCCAGCGACAGCACTGCTACTCGCTCCAGTTTTTAAAAGCAATTTCGCACAAGTAATTGTAACAGCTAAATTAATTACAAAATAATTAGAATTGATAGCTTTTGAGGATATGCTGATGGTGGTGAGAACCAGCCTCCCACATCAAGATGTTTCATTTCTACCTTTATCCTTTCTTTAAAGGGTTTTAACAGCTGAAATGCACATTAAAAATAATCTACGAGGACCTTCCCCATTCCTGTTCTATGATCTTGCATTTCACACTAACCTAGCCTAAGGTAAAGAAAAAAGGGGGAAGACGTGATATGCAGCTGTTTTTAAAGGGGTATTAAGGCCACCATTCCTTGGCCTTCAGAAAGCTTCGGGTTGGAGTGAGAGGAAGCATCTATAGGAATCCTTCAGAAATCCGATTATGTTCTGAATTGATTACTGCCCTATAAATGAGATATCTTATTTGAAAATATTATGAAAACAAAACCGTGTATTATCTATCAGATGAATACAGATAATAAAAGCCCACTGCAAAATGTAAAATGCCTTAACATAAATTTTTTAAACCAGCTGGGTTTATTTACCACTTCCATTAAGGAATGAGGAGAAATAATTTCAAAAATCTAAGATTTAAATGCTAAAAAGAGGGATGCTTGGAATTTACTTACTTTTAAAAGGTTAACTGAAACGACCAGGAACTCCCTCATTTGGGAAGTTTTCATTGCGGAATGAAAACTGGTCATTTAAAAACAATTTTTAAAAGACTCTGCTGTTGTTTAGTTCTCTTTTTTTTTATGGCAGCTTACTTTACAGAAATGTCTGGTCATTTAGATTTAATGGGTTGATATGAATGATATTATCGCCCATATCCTGGTTTTATGTGAAAACTAAAAAGAAAAAAAATTAACACAGTTTAAATTAGGCATACTGTTTCCTTTCTCCAATTAAAATTTTCTTAAACTCAAATTATGAATTAGGTTCGAAAAGGTCATTACTTGAAATTCCTTGATTTTCTGGGGAGAAGAGGCAAATAACATTTTAAAATCTTGCCATTTACTTCAGACAACTAAATGAAACACTAGGCTGGGCATTTAAAAAATTTATTTACAAAGTTGTGTACAACACGATGGAATAACATTTAGAATACTATATATATTCATTCATATATAAACAGACTTTTATAATAGAATGACACTTTTTGCCTTTTTGAAAATTTTTTATATTTAAAATCTCCCAACGTCTCTATACATTCTTTTCTCAGATAAAACTTCGAAGAGTGAACCTTCAAAAAAAATGAAAGTTCAGAGCTCTAAATCTACGGAATTTGTTTTTTCTTAAAAAAATAAAAACCCCAAAAGGAAAGTCAATAATTTTTATACAGATATATACAAAGAATTTCGCTCCCATCCCCACGGTACTAAGAGCAGGCGCCGTCGGGGTGCATTTTTGGAAAATTCAGTTTTCGGTTTTACCTGTATGGAAAGCTATTCCCGGCGGGCGCGCGGTGTTTGCTCCACTAGCTTAGGTGTGTGCGAGGGGGTGGAGGCCGCGGAAGGTAGGCGTTGGGGGCTCAGGGGCAAGGAAATAGGGGAGAGGCAGAGTCCGGGATTGGGCGGCGGGACCGGGATCGGGACAGGGCGCGCAGCCTGGCGGAGCAGCTGCCGCTCGAGGCCGCACCCGGCCCTGGGTCCCGGCCACTGGCGCGTCCCTATTGCGCGGGCCATTTGGCTTGAGCGGCGGCGGCGGCAGCGGCGGCGGCCGAGGCTGCGGGCTGCAGAAACTGTCCGGAGAGCGGCACGCTCAGAATGGGCGCGATAGTGGCGGTCGTCCGGCTGAGGGACAGCGGCTGGTGCGTGGCCATGAGAGAAGCCGACTGCACGGTCCCGGGTGGCCGCAGGAACGACTGAGCGGTGCTGCCGCCCCCGGAGCCCCCAGTGCCACCGGCGCCCCCAGCGCCCGCCGCCGAGCCCCCGGGAGCCGCGGGGCCCCCACCTATGATGTTCTCGATGCTGAACGACGGCCGCGCGCTTGGCTCGGACTTGATGAGCGACGCGGTGGTGCCCGCGGCGCCCGCGGTGCCCGCAGCGGCCGCGGCAGCGCCCAGGCTATTGAGCTGCAGCTGCAGGCCTGGGCCGAGCTGTGAGCCGAAGGCGGCAGCTTTGCGGCCCAGCTCGCCCGAGGGCAGCAGCGGCACGGCGGGAGGCAGCACTGGCGCCACCGGCGGCAGCGCGTACGGGTACTGGAGCGCCGCCGCAGCCGCCGCGGCAGCCGCGGCTGCCGGGTGCGAATAGGCACCAGCCGCCGCCGCCGGGTGCAGGCCATAGGGGCGGCCATAGGGTCCCGCGGCGCCGGCCGCCGCCGCCAGGCTGTAGGCGCCGAAGCTCTGCATCATGAGCGCCGTCTGCTCGCGCAGGTGCTCCTGCTGGTGGCGCTTGAAGCGTTTCCGGCGCCGCAGGAAGCTGCCGTTGTCGAACATGTCCTCGGACTGCGGGTCCAGGGTCCAGTAGTTGCCCTTGCCGGGGTTGCCCGGCTCGCGGGGGATCTTGACGAAGCAGTCGTTGAGTGAGAGGTTGTGGCGGATGCTGTTCTGCCAGGCGGGGAACTTCTCCCGGTAGTAGGGGAAGCGGTTGCTGATGAACTCGCAGATGCCGCTCAGGGTCAGCTTCTTCTGCGGGCTCTGCAGGATGGCCATGGTGATGAGCGCGATGTACGAGTAGGGCGGCTTCACCAGGCTGTTCTTGGGCTTGCTCGGGGCCAGGCCGCCCGCCGAACCACTGCCCGCGCCGGGCCCGCCGCCGCCCGCGCCGCCCTCCTCGCCGCCAACGCCGCCCTTGCAGCCGTCCTCCTCCGGGGCGCCCACCTCGTTCCCCGGTCGGGCCCCGGCCCCGGCCGCCTCCTTGGGCAATGCCAGGGGCTGCTGGTGGGGCGGCTGAGGCTGCCCTTGATGGGGTGCCGCCGGGGCCACCTCGTCCGCCTCGTCCAGGCGCAGCTCCGGCGGCCCCGCGGGGCTATCGCAACCCGCGTCGCTGTCCTTCTCCAGCCCGTCGTCGCCCTCGCCCACCACATCGATGTCCACGTCCTCGGCCGTCAGCACCGTCTGGCCGGACATGTCGCTGGCGCTGCCGCCGCCGGAGAGGGTCATCCCTCCTCGGGGTTGGTAGCGGCGGCGGGGAGGGGGCAGCGGGCGATGGGGGTGGTCGGGGGCTGCCGCGGAGCTCAGGGGAAGAGGGTTGAGGCGCCCCCGAAAGATGGGGGGCAGGGAGAGGGGAGGGGGCCGCAGGTGGCTCGGGGCCCGCTCCGCTTGGCTCACACTTGGCGGCCCGGCATCGCGCGGCGCGGGCGCTGCAGTTCGCCCCCCGCGGCCGCGCTCTGAGAACTCCTGCCCTCCCTGGTGCTCGGTTCTAGGCGCTTGATACAGCTCCCGGCCCCAGCGGTTTGTCCACGCCGCGCCCCCTCACTTAGCCCGCCTTCCTCGGCCTCTGGCCCTGGCGTGGAGCGCAAGAGCGGTCCAGGCGGGCGCGGGACGCCGGGCGCCGAGCGGCTCGGAAGGGCCCGGGCAGGGGCAATCGCGGGGGTGGGGGGGGGGCAGGGGGCTAGGTGTCAGGGACGCCGAAGCCCCGGTAGTCGAAAGTCCCGTTTTAAGGACTGGCCTGATAGATTACTTTCTACTTAAAGATCCAGCGGGAGGCGGGGCCACGTGACCGTGCGTGACGTCAGGGCCGCGGCGGAGCCGGCCAAACTCAAGTTGGTTCAGGGAATTGTCAACAAAGGGACGAGAGACGCGCAACTCCGATCCGCACGGTGCGCCAGCATCCCCGGGGCCCCGAGGGCGCTCCAGCCGGCCGGGAGACCCCCGCCCAGGGTGGACCAGGGCCCTGGGGCCCAGGGAGAGGGTGGGTGTGAGTGTGGGTGGGTAGGTGGGTGTGATCGAGTGAGGGCGTGGGTCTGGAAGCGTCCGCCAGACTGTGCGACTGTCGCTGCCTTGCCTTCCCCGCCCCCTCTCCCTTTCCCCCTTCTCTCCCCCCTGTTGCCACACTCCTTAGATAGGAACTGGGCGACCTAGAACGAGGTTCCCATCCCATCTTTTAAAAAGCAAAACTTAGTCTCTGTTTTGCTTTTTGTTTCATTGCTTTTAGCTTTAAAGAGTAAGAGCTGCGCGCCCGGCTCGCTCTTGCTAATTAGACTTCAGATCCCCCATCCGGCCTCAGTGCTCAATTCCGGGGAAGACACCTGCTGAGATGTCTTTTTCCCCCTCCCCCAACCAAACCACTCTAGTCCTGCCTGTGCTTTCCCGGCTTGATGCAGGCATGTTTTTTCTCTATGCATTTTTTCGTGCGACAACAAACAGCATCAGCTGGGGTTCCCGAAGGTCAGAAAATGGCTATTGATTAATCTATTAGAATAGTTGCCGAGAGAAACAAAAACGACGTAAAATAACAGGGAACCTATAAATAAAGAAGCCATAACTGGCTACTTGGAGTTGTTAAACGACTTAGCATATGAAAAAATCGGAAATGAGGCGCTGGGAAAGGAGCCGGGATTGGCGGCGGCCTGGGTAAGTCGAGTGGATCCGGGAAGAGGCCTAGTGCCTCCAGGTTAGACGCCGCGCCCAGGCAGGGGCGGCTGAAGAAACGTGAGGGGTGCGGGTGGTGGCTTCCCGGGCGGCGGGCATGGCCTCGGAGGAACCTGGGCAGAGTTGGGCATGCCAGCGGGCTGGGCTCTCCGTTGCTTCCAACTAATGTGGATTTTCTCCTCTTAGGGTGTAGACAAATCCTCCAAGATTTAACTTCCGAGGAAACCGTCGGCAGAGCGGGTGGAGGAGGCGAGGATGTGTGGCCAGTGCACGCGGAGTGCAATGCAAGTCAGTGATGGTAGGAAAAACTGTGGGGATTTCACTGTGACTGGAGGGGGAGGCACTGCAAAACGACTCCAAGTACGTGGCTGGGGTGCGTGGACCTCACACCTCCAAGGAGAGTCAGTGCTCTTGACCCGGTGAAACCGCCATGCCTCCTCTTTCCTCCCGCGTTTAGGCCGCCTAGTTGGGAGCAGCAAGAGCCTGCCGGTTGTGGCAGGCACGTGGAACCCAATCCCTATTTCTCCGCTGCGGCCTGGGAGGGGACCGCCGGCCTCTCCAGAGGAAGGAGCACGAGGGGAGGAGGTCCGAGAGAAAATAATTGGTGAAATATTTGCAGAAGATTCTGGGATGCGGATTTGATTCCAGATGAACAGTGTTGTTTCTGATTCCCTCAGTCTGTTTCCCACCCACGATCTCGTCTTTCCTTGTCCTAGAAACACCAAAAATAACTCAGTAAAATAAAAATAAAAATTTAAAAATCTGTAAACTTGCTTCATTACAAGCATTAAGACACACAGATTGACTTTTATCTCCATTAGACAGTTTCCCCCGGATATAACACTAACACCCATTGGATCCTGACTGCGCAGGATATTCCTGGTTGGGGCTGGGAGCAGGGTGGGGGGCGGTGACTATCCTGAGACGCCCGCGAACCTCCATGGTTTTTCTTTATCTAAATAATCCCGAGGTTGCACGTGGCCCTAAAACGCATCTCAGAGTTGATTTCCGGAGCTGCACAGCTTTGTGGCCCGCAGGCTCCAAGCCGTTTACAAAGCCGTCTAGACAGCCTTCCGCGAAACCTACCCGAATTGAATTGGCTGGCCACCGCCCCGGGCTGCAGAGGTCGAGGCTGCAACTGCCTCTGCAACCAAAGGAGGGTCGGAAGGACCCCCCCCCCCAAAAAAAGCTAAAACGCTGAAATGTACACATTCAGAAACCTCCTTTCCTCTGCTTGGGTTGCCAAGCCCCAGAGGCGCGGGGCGCGGGGCGCGGGGCGCAGCGCTGGCCCTGCCGCGGCCTGGGTGGCTGGCCCTGCGTGGACGCGTGCGTGTGGACGCGCGCCAGAGGATGGTGGCTACAGGGCTGCCCTCACCGGTCTCGAAGTGTCTCCAAATGAGCCTAATTTCGATTCCGCCGCCTGCCGAGCCTAGCTCTCTGGACTCCCTCCACGCTGCTGGTCGCTGCCTCCTGCCCTCCCTCCGCCACCGCCCGGCCTGATCCGTCCATTCCCGGGTGTCTCTTTGGAACCTCCCTGGGGAAGGGGGGTGGGGTATGAACAACTCCCAGCTGCCCGTTCCATTTGTTGCGCTTTTTTCCTTCGACACAATAAAAGTCAAATTAATTGATTCATACCATTAATTACGGTGCGTAGCGTGAAAAGCAACGCTTCCCCTCGGTTAGAGATCTATTGTGCTAATCTCTTGTTCAATCAGTGTTACCATCTGATGCTGGGTCCGGCCCTTACAGAAACTTTTCGACTCGATTAGCTAAATGATGAGACGTGCAGAACCTACTGGCTGCGGCCCCGACGTCTCGCGCCCGCGCTGGCCTAATATCGATTTCCAGCGGAGGCAGAGGATTTTTCCGCGGCCACTCTCGACTCGGGAACCTGCCTCTGGCTTTCTCCCTCTAGGCGGACCATAGCGCCCGCGCAACCTCCCGGGGGCGGGAAGGAGGCGAAGCTGCGCCCGGGTGGGAGACAGTAAGGTTCCTGCTGGCCTCCATGCAGGAGGCTGTCCCAGCGGAAGGATCCGATCCCGACGCGGTGGAGGGTCCTGCTGGAGGCCGGCTAGATTCCAGGCTAAGTAAATTGTTTGCCGCGTAGTTGCAGTTTGCAGCTGAAAGCCCACAGGTCGTCAGTTACCGCCAAACTTTAGGACGGAGATGGAAGAAGCGAGACAGATCCAGAGAGAAAGTGAGACACATGTAGTGGGGGGAAGAAAATTTGATAAAGGGAAAGGAAAGGGGTGTGTGTGTGGATAAAGTTTCTGAGTCTCAAAGGGTTATTGGGGAGGTAGAGGGAGAATGAAGACACACACACACACACACACACACACACACACAATTATGAGTTTGAGTGACTCTTTTGAGTCTCAACAAGCGAACTTCCCAGGAGAGATTTAAAGGGGAAGATGGCAGCCAGCTGCCTCACCTGCTCAAATGTTTCAGCCAAAGGAGAATGGAATGAAACTCCTTCGGTTCCTCCTGGAGTGGGCAGAGTACGTGGTACCCCGCCGGAAAGCCACCTGAACGCCGTGGGAATGAGGGGTGGGGGGAGCAGGGATCTAGGTTCTAGCAACAGGAGGCAAGAAGAGTGAAGTCCGGATCGATAGGAAGGAAATTGAGACGTCTCCAGGGGAGGGGAGATTTAGTGTGTGCGTCCGGGTTGGGGGAGGGATGGGGAGGGAAATAAGTGGATAGAAAAATTTATGATAGAGAAAGGGAAATTAATTACAGCTCATTTGGGGTTCTTAGGTGGTCAACACTGGAGGAGGAGCACGGTCAGAGTGCGGAAGGCGGGAATTACCCACCTACCCTTCACCAGGCCCAAGTGAACCCAGGTGCCCTCTTTCTCTTCTTTTAATTCAGAGACTGTGCCAGTGGCTTGCATAAATCGTTGGCGCGATGTGAGATAGAATCATCACGCCCGCGCGCGGGTGCACTTTTCTTACAATCCGGGGAGTTGGGAACAGGTTTCGCGGAGTGAAGGGAGCGTCTCGTATCGAGAGCATTTACTCTCTTTCGGAGAGAAAGCAAACGTGGGTGGGGCTATTAGAAAAATAACCCTGCTTTCTACCCTAGACCCCCACGCCCACAACAACCAAAGTCTGCTTCTTCTCGACAGTCTTCATAGATTTGTTAAACTATTATCGGCCTCTTCGTCTGGATGGCCGCCACTAAAGAAGTTGGAAAGGGCAGAAGTGATACCCAAGGCCCCAACCCACCCAGATTATTTCCATTTCCCAGTGGGTGGGATTTTCAACTCTCTTCCCACCACCACCCGGTTGTATACCTCTCCGGATCTTTTCGAAGTGGAAAAAAATAGGTCAATTTAATGTTCTTGTTTGGATTTGCATCTCAAGACTTCATTTATTTTCAAGGTGTCTGCCACTCAGTGTCCACGCCAAGGCGTGCCTGTAAATGGCAAGAGTCCAAAAGGAAAGGAGGAGAGAAAGAGGAAGAGAGAGAGGATGGTTTCAAATTTATTTATATTGGAAATGTATAAACATCCATTCTGTAAAAGGCAACACGTTTAATTAACGATGAGAGAGCAGTTAGGGGCAGAAAGCTAGTAAAATTGTGTGATAAATTTATGGCATTGTTAGCGTGCTTTTAATTATGGCTATTATGTTAATTATTTCACATTAGCATGGAGTTATCAGCAGCATGTCAGATTTAATCAAAACGAGCCTTTCTCCCGAAAATTGTTCTTTTCATCCACGAGGAGAAAGGTCCTGGACAGGAGCGGGGCTTAAAAATGACTTGGCATTGAAAGCCGGAGTCTTTCCGACAACGTTTGGAGCCATGCAACCGGGCCCGGCTGTCCGCTGGGTCCATCCAGGCTACCGGCAGCTCGCAGAGGAGCCCAGGGCTGGGTTTTTAGGAATTCACCATTTTCTCCCCCTTCGGAGCCGACACTACATCATGTGAGATCATTCTGTCAAACAATATGATGCTGCTCATTTTTATCTGTCCCGCTTTACAAAATCCCCATTCAGCGGGCCGAGGAGCAACAAAAGCCTCGGAGCAGCTCGGCGGCCGCGGGCGGCCACAGCCTCCCGGGCGCGCGAGAAAGAAAAGCGAGAGGTGCGGAGGAAAGCAGGCGGCGGGCGCGCGCCCCTCTCAGCCCTGGGGAACGCGGCCTGCCGGGGCCTGCGCGCCCAGGTGTCGGGTCCTCGGGTGTGGCCCAGGCGGGACACGCCTCCCTCAGGCCCGCGCCCGCCCTTGGCCTCCCTGCAGGCACTGGGCGAAAGCCCCCTTTCCCTCCCCGCGAGCGATTCGCCCACCCAGGTCACATCGATTTCTTAATCACCGCCGATCGATTTATTGGGAGCAGATAAATAGCCCGTTTTGGAAACGTTTCAATTGCTGGCTTGATGGTTGGGGCGCTGACGGGGGAGGGCGGGCAGGGCAGAGGGGCGCGCGCGGGAAGGGGTTTGTGGGAAGGCGGGGAGCGGAAAGGCCGAGCGCCACCAGCCCCGGGAGCCTCCGGAGCAGCGCGCGGGGCTGCCCTCCGCGGGTCCCCCGGCGCCTCGGTCTCCGGAGACGCCCGACCTCCTGGAGGGTTCCGCTTGGCGCTCAGCTCCCTCTGGCGGCGGGGCGGGCAGGACCTCAGCACCCAGCCCTTCCGCTTTGTCACGTCCAGGCAAGTTGGCCCGGCTTTCGGGTTGCCTCTGTACCGTCCCCCTCCAGCCCCGCGACCCAGCCCTAGTGCAGGCTCCGGGGCACACAGAGCTCGGCCTCCCAGGCCTTCCAGCTCAGGGTGCGGACGCAGCAGCCTCCTAGCCCCTGGGCCCGGCGCGGCTTTCCTGCCCAGGACCACTCGGGCCCCGCCCCTCCCGAGACAGGGCTGTGGACAGGCCAGCTGCTGCCTTATTTTTAGCGCCATTCCATTCGCGCGGTTATATTTAACTCGACCCACTCCTCCTAGGAGGTCGCCCGGACATCGAATTCTCCACATCACAGCTTGGGCCCGCCCGCCTTGCCTAAGGGGCAGTTCCTCAAGGGTCAGATTGGAAAACCCCTGCTAAAGAATCCTTGACATCTCCGGAGCTTGGAGAGGACAGGATTGGAAGAGAGTTCTCGTTCTAGGGGCAGTGGCTCCAGCGCCTGCGGTGCGCGGCGATTACGCCTTGTGTGAGGGAGGCGAGGAGGGGACAGGATTCAGTCCTGTGGGAAGGATTCTCTGCGGGGAGTATGGGGTCCATTTCCTACTTATGCATAACCCAGAGCACTAGGTGACCTGGAAGAGCTCTCACAACCCTGCTCTTCGAAAAGTTTATCATTTAGTATGCGTGCAGGAATCCCCCCCTCTCTACCGTCCAGTGCACCCAACGGGTTACTTCATTTCAAGTTAGCGCCTCAGTTCCATCCCAGTCTTCCCTTGGCAAAATCTTAAAACGACCATGCCACTGGCTCACTCACATCCTGGGGATAACCCACTTGGATAACATACAGAAACACCATTGTGATACACACTTTAT